CCAACTTTGCAGTTCAAACCGACCTTGCGGTCCAGTGCATTAGCCCACAGCACCACACCAGGACTAGCGGGTCTTATTTTGTGTGTATATAATAATTCTTCGTACACATGAGCCTGTCTTCAGTTGTGGTGAGACAGGTTGGTTCTCTGTCTGATAGAAACAATAACGCGAGCCGCAGATGGAATTCATGAAATGCTGGCCTTGAAGTTAGCAGCCCAATTCGTAACCACTACGTTAAATACGTAAAAAGAAGCAGGTGAAATTAATCTTGGTAGCAGATTTTATTTAAACCAGTGTATTTCAAATGTCATTGCACTGTTGTTGTCAGGTGCCATTGAGTCGGAACCGACTCATAGCGGCCCCATGCACAGCAGAACGAAACAATGTCCGATCCTGGACCAACCTAACTACCGCTGGCACACTTGACGCCATCAGTGATGCCACCTGGCCGATCCATCTCGATGGGGGTCTTCCTCTTTTTCTCTGACCCTCCATCTTACCCAGCATGACATCTTTCTCCAGCAACTGTTACCTTCTGACAGTATGTCCAAAGTATGAGAGATGAAGTTTAGCCACCTTGGACTCCAAGGAGCACTCTGGCTGCACTTCTTCCAAAACAGATCTGTTGGTTCTTTTGGCTGTCCATGGCACTCTTAGTATTCTCCTCCAACACCAGAACTCAAATGCATCAATTCTTCTACGATCTTCCTTATTCACTGTCCAACTTTCACATCCATATGAGGTTATTGAAAATACCATGGCTTGGGTCAGGTGCACCTTAGTCCTCAAGCTGACATCTCTGCTCTTCAATACTTTAAAAAGTTCCTGTGCAGCAGATTTGCCTAATGCAATCCATTGTCTGATTTCTTGACTGCTTCTTCCGCTAATGTTGATGGTTGATCCAAGAAGAATGAAGTCCTTGACAACGTCAATCTTTTCTCCATTGGTAAGAATGTTTATTGGTCCAGTGGTGAGGATTTTTGTTTTCTTGACATTGGGATGCGATCCATACTGAAGGCTGTGCTCTTTGATCTTCATCAGTAAATGTTTCAAGTCCTCTTCACTTTCAGCAAGCAAGGTTGTAACATCTGCATATTGCAGGTTGTTAATAAGTCTTCCTCCAATCCTGATGCCACGTTTTTCTTCATAGAACCCAGCTTCTCGTATTATTTGCTCAGTATACAGGTTGAATAAGTATGGTGAAAGAACACAACCTTCTTGCACACCTTTCCCAATTTTAAAACATTCAGTGTCCTCATGCTCTGTTCAAACAACTGCTTCTTGGTCCAGGTACAGATTTCTCAGAAGTACAATTAAGTGTTCTGTAATACTCATACTTCTCAATGTTGTCAATAGCTTGTCATGATCCACACAATCGAAAGCCTTTGCATAGTCAATAAAGGTAGTCAATAAAGGTAAACATCATTGCACTAGGATTAAAAATTCATGAGGCATTTTCTGGTGATTGCGGTCCTCGTCTTGGTCATTCTTTTTCTCATGATACCACTAGATCTTTCTGTTGGCCATCTTTTGTAGATAGGCATTCTCTGTAAAACAGAGCTGTGCCTAATTTACTTTTTAAATTAGAAGTCTATTTATGAAATACTTCTAAGACAAAAAAATATTGACAACATAATTCTCATATTCCCTGCCCCCCAATATTTAACACATTGTAACATTTTCTCATTTTGTCTCAAATTTTTTTTGGGAGAAGAAACTTAGAAAGAAACTTCTCTCCCTTCTTCTTTCCTTATTTCCTCTACCATATTTGGAGTTTTGATAATGTATCTCTTTTGCCCATATTTCTCTGTTTATTACATGAATATATCATCTCAGTATAATCTATGGAAGGCATTTCAATTATTTTGTTTTCAAGTTTTTTTTCCTTTTGTGAATGTGGATTGTGCCTTTAGTGTCATGTCCAGGAAGTCTTCACTTCACCCTGGATCCTAAAGTTTCCTCTCTATTCTTTTCTACAAATTAAACAAGTTTACATTTCAGTAAGGTGACTTTTGAACAAGATGTCATGTGTAGGCTTATTGCCTGCTGGTGCCCAGTTTCTTCAGCACCACTCATTGAGGAGACTGTTTGTCTTCCATCCACGTACTGTTGTCTTTTTGTTCGACATCAGCCAGCTGTACATGTGGTTCCATTCTCGTGCTGGTGGCTGCTCTATTCTGTCACTGCCAACAGTAAATTTTAATTTTTTAAAAAATGTTGTTGGGAATATGCACAGAAAAATATGCATCCTATGGTTTCAATCCTTCAATTCAGTGGCATTGATTACAGTCTTTGACGTGTACAACCATTCTTACTCTCCTTTTCTGAGCTCTTTCTTCCTGTTAGCATAAATTCATTGCCCTGGTATTTTTCCCACTTGCTGTCTATTTTTTTTCAATTGTTTTTGTCAAATTGGCCACACATAGAAGGCTAGCAATTTCTCTCTTGTCTTTTTTTGCTTGCATTTCAAACACAGTTTTATTGAGCTATATTTCAGGTACCTAACAGTTCACCCATTTAAAGTGTACAATTCATGAGTTTCACGATGTTTACAGATACAGGCATCCACCCTCACAGTCAAATTTAGAATATTTTCATCACCTCAGAAAAGAAACCCTTGTTCCTCAAATAGTCAAGCATAGAATTACCGTGTTGTTGTTGTTAGTTGCCATGGAGTTGGCTCCGACTCATGGCGACATTATAAATAACAGAACTAAGTGTCGCCCCATCCTGAGCTATTTTTATGGTTGTTGTTAAGTTTGAGTGCCTCCCAACCTGTGGGGCTCCTCTAGTACCAAACCAGGCAGCATTCTGTGGTTCTACATAGGACTCCTGGGTGGTGCTGTAAGATGAGCACTGAACTGCTAACCACAAGGTCAGTGGTTCAAACTCAACAGCTGCTCCTTGGGAACCCTTGACAGGGTGGCTGTGAGTCAGAACTGACTTGACGGCACTAAACAACAATTTCTGGATAGATTGCCAGGCCGTTTTTCCTAGTCTTAGTCTGGAAGCACTGCTGAAACCTGCCTACTTTGGGTGTCTGTGCTGGCATAGCTCCCAGCCTCCACACTGTCCTTAATTGGGTGGACTGTATCCCCTCGCTTTCTTCTTGCTTTTCAAAATTCCTTTAGCTATTCTACTTCCTTTGCCTTTCCATATCCATTTTGATAATAAGGTTGTCTATAGGTACAAAGAAAATCTTACTGGGATTTGGGATAGAAATTACATTTAACCTACTTGTTGATTTTGGGAAGAATCAATCTTCTCAAATTCTAAAACTTAAGAATATAAATCTTGTAAGCAGTATATTACTATTGACAAAATCCTGACTGCGAATTATAGTCTTAATCATATGTATAGATAGTCAGTTTATACTTAATATAATTATATATACATAAAAATATTTTTGCTTAAATCTGTGTTACCTTTTGTTCTCTATTTGGCCAGTTTTAAGTTCTTTTAAATCTTTCTGTTATTACAAGCTGTCGAGTCAGTTCCAACTCATAGTATCGGATTTCTGAGGAACAGCTGGTGGGTTTGAACCACAGATCATGTGATTCACAGTCCATTGCTGATCCTACAGGACCACACAAAGAGACCAATATAATGCCTTGTTAATTGGCATCAAGTCGGTTCTGATTCACAGTGACTCTGTATAGGGTTTCTGAGGTTGTATATCTTATAGGAGCAGAAAACCTCATTTTTCGTCTGTGGAGCGGCTGGTGGGTTTGAACTGCTTACCTTGTGGCTCATAGTCCAGTGCCTGTCCTACAGCGCTACGAGCACTCCTTTAATCTTTTTACGGTTGATGAAATATATTTTGTCATTCTCCTTTCACTCTTCTGTGTCCTAGTTATATGTTATTTTACTCTTTTAATGGTTAGCCTTCTTGAATGCATCCTTAAAATTCTGATATAAATTTAGAATTGTACAAATCCTTTTGATTCTTTTAAGCTCTGGTAATGTATAGTAAATTACCAAAGTTTATTGTAAAGGAGCTCTTGTGGTGTAGTGGTTATGAATCAGGCTGCTAACCTCAAGGTTGGCAGTTCGAAACTACTAACTGTTCCATGGGAGAAAGATGAGCCTTTCTTCTCCCATAAAGATTTACAGCCTTGGAAACCCTGTGCAGGGTCACTATGAGTCGGAACCGACTTCATGGTACTCAACAACAATGTATTGTAAGCTCTGGTTATGGATTTCAGTTTGCTCTCTTTTTATCGCTCTGTGTGTATGTGGTTTTTTTTTTTACTTTTTTCCCCAACTTTTTACTTCAATACATTTTAAAGCTACAGAAATATTAGAAGTGATAAAATGAACACTTGTTTATGTTTTATCTAGATGACCAGTTGGCACCTTTAGCCATAGTTATGTTTTTCTGTCTGTCAGTCTCTGTCTTTTGCCTTCGTTAATTTGTCTTTGTCCGTTAGTCTGTGCTTGTGTTTTGTCTATCTGTATGTTGGTCTCTGTTTCTTTCTGTCTTTTTATGTCTATTTGCATATTTATAAGTTTTTAATTCTCTCTTATATATATATATATATAAATTCTCTCTTATCCCCCCCTTTATAAATAACTATTTGAAGTGTTGCAGGAGGTTTCAAAAAGTTTGTAGAAAAATGGAATGAAAAGATAATGACTTTTTTTGTGAAGTTTTTGAAGTCCCCATGTATCTTCTAAAATTAGAAGAATTTTTGTAAATAAATGTCTTTATCAGTGCCTCTGTTAGAATTCTTGCCATTCCCTCGGCCCCTCATCCCTGCCCTCCCATCTGTTCTCCAGAGCGGACATCCTGAGTTCTCGGGAATCTCATATTGGGAATGACAGTAACTTCTCGTACTACAGTATTAATTGAAGTGTAACTTTATTTTGTTGATCTTATTCTTCACTGCTGTATAACATGTTTTTTTTCCAGATTGTATTTGTTTTTTACTTTCGATATTCTTTTAATGGCTTAGTGTACACATATTTAAAGTTGTATGACCTTTTTCTCCTTCTTCCAGTGCAGAGTTGAAGCTCTTGGAGGAGGCAACAATTTCAGTCTGCAAGTCTTTAGGTAAGGAACAAAAAATGTGTGTGTCAGGCACACTTAGTTTGAATGTTCTGCTATAGCTTCTGCTAGTATAATGTAAATGGAACTAATGGCGGGAGGAGTACGCTAATAGACAAACTGCTGAAGTGCACACTATGTGTAAAAGAGCTGTATGAGATAATTCATTACACTGCAGATTTTTACCCACTAATTTTGATCCTCTTGAATCCATTGCTCTTACCACTGATATTTGAAGTCTAGTATCTGCTATTGAGCATTTTTGTTTAAAATCATTGAATGTGTTTGATTTTATTAGTTTTCGCCATGGTCTTCTTCTTGCCCAAAAGGGTACTGTGGAAAACATTGGTACTTAGAATATAGGCTCCATGAGGACAGAGAGTTCTATTTACAGGTGTGCATCTCCTCTGCCCTTGAAAGATGTCTGGGTAGGTACATCTGGGTATCTCAATAAATGCATGCCGAATGAATGCATATAAAAGGCAACACAGAGCTTCAGTTACATCAGTCTAGTAATCTGGTTGCTCTTTGCAACAACACATGTTTTTGCTTTTGGTTTTTAATAGTTAAACATTTACAAATTCAAGCAATAACTCATAAAGTCATTTGGTAATAAAGGGACTGTTGAATGAACACAAGTCTATGAAATTGTGATTCTGAATGATGATTATAGTATCAACCGTAGCCCTCAGTGGTCTCAGCACTTTGTTTTGATTTGCAACAGCTGTTAGGTGCCGTCGAGCCGGCTCCAGTTCCTCAGACCATATGTTCAGAAGACCGAAACACTGCTTGGTCCTGGGCTAGCCTCACAGTGTTGTTATGTTTGAGTCCATTGTTGCATGTCTGGGTCAGTCCATCTTGTTGAGGGGCTGTTTTTTCGTTGACCCTCTGTTGTACCAAGCATGTTGTCCTTTTCCAGGAACTGGTTCCTCCTGATAACATGTCCAAAGTACATGAGATGAAGACTCGCCATCCTCACTTCTAACGGGCATTCTGTCTGTAGTCCTTCTCACAGTGTATGGTACTTTGAATAGTCTTCACCAACACCATAATTCAAATGCATCAATTCTTCATCAGTCCTTGTTCATCATTGTCCTGCTTTCACTTGCCTAAGAGGCTATTGAAAATACCATGGCTTGAGTCAGGAATACCTTAGTGCTCAAAGTAACCTTTTTGCTATTTAACACTTTAAAGAGGTCTTGTGTAGCATATTTGCATGATTGATTTCTTGACTGCTGCTTCCATGGGCTTTGATTGTGGCTCCTGTAAAATGAAGTCCTTTGACATCTTCATTCTTTTCTTTATTTATCATGATGTTGTTTATTGACTCAGTTGTGAGGATTTTTGTTTGCTATACATTAAATAGTAATCCATATTGAAGACTGTAGTCTTTCATCTTTATCAGTAAGTGCTTCAAGTCCTTTTTACTTTTATCAGGCAAGGTTGTGTCGTCTGCATGTTGCAGGTTGTTAATGAGTCTTCTTCTAATCTATCTGCTACATTCTTCTTCATATAATCCAGACTTGCTCCTCATACAGATTGAATCAGTATGGCAAAAGGACACAACACTGGCACACACCTTTCCTGACTTTAAATCATTCAGTGGTACTGTGGTACTGTGGGTTACTGTGCTGGGCTACAAGGTCGCTTTGAACTGCAAGGTCAGTGGTTCAAGTGCAACAGCCACTGACAACCCTGTACAGGGTCGCTGTGGCTCAGAACCGACTTGGTGGCATTTGACAACAACAACAACATCCTGTTGTTCAGTTTGAACGACTGTTTCTTGGTCTATGTACAGGTTATATAGGAGCACAGTTAGTATTCTGGAACTTCAGTTCTTTTCAATGTTATCTGTAGTTTGTTGTTATCCGTGTAGTTGAATGCTTTTTTTTTTTTTTTTAAGGTTTTTATTGTGGATTGAGTGAAAGTTTACAGGGCACATCATCAGTTTCACATTCAACCTGAATGCTTTTGTTTTAAAATTAGTAAAACACAAGGAAACATCTTGGTGGCATTTTTTGCATTCAGTCAAGCTCCACTTGATGTCAGTTATGATAACCTTTAGCTCCATGTCCTCTTCTGAATCTGGCTTGAATTTCTGGCAGCTCCCTACTGATGTACTGCTGCAACTGTTTTTGAATTATCTTCTGAAAATTTTTACTTGTATGTGATATTAATGATGCTCACTAATTCCTGCATCCTGTAGGGTCACCTTTCTTTGGATTGGACACAAATCTGGGTTTCTTCCAGTTAGTTGGCCTTGTAGCTGTCTTCTCAATTTCTTGGCATAGACTTGGCATAGTGAGTGCTTCCAGCACTGCTTCAGTTTGTTGAAACATTTCAGTTGGTATCTGTCAGTTCCTGGAGCTTTGTTGTTGCTCATGCTTTCAGGACAGCTTGGAATTCTTCCTTCAATACCATCAGTTCTTGATCATATGCAACCTCTTAAAATGACTGAGCATCGGCCAATTCCTTTTGGCCCAGTGACTATATGTATTCCTTCCATCTTTTTTTTTCATGCTTTCTGCATCATTCAATATTGTGCTCACAGAATCCTTTAATATTACAAGTTGAGGCTTGAATGTTTTCTTCAGCTGTCTCAGCTTCAGAAATGCTGAGTATGCTCTTCCCTTTTGGTTTTTTAACGCCAGGGTTTTTGTATATTTCATTATAATACTTGACTTTGTCTTCTTTAACTGCCCCTTTGAAATCATCTGCTCAGCTCTTTTACTTTATCATTATTTCCTTTCACTTTAGCTGCTATATGTTCAAGGGCAAGGTTCAGAGTCTGTTCAGACATTCACTTTGGTTTTTTCTTTCTTTCTTGTCTTCTTGATGACCTCTGGCTTTTTTCATGTATGATGTTCTTGATGTCATTCTACAACACTTCTAGTCTTTGGTTATTAGTGCTCATCGCATCAAATTTATTCTTGATATGGTCTTTAAATTCAGATGGGATATAATCAGGGTCATATTTTGGCTCTTGTGGATTTGTTTTAATTTTCTTTAAATTCCACTTGAAATTGTGTATGAGCAGTTGATGACCTATTCCATAGTTGACCCCTGGCCTGGTTTTGGCTGATGGTATTGAGCGTTTCCATTGTCTCTTCTCACTGATGCTGCCAGTTTGTTTTCTGTGTATTCCATTCAGTGAGGTCTACATGTAACGTTGCCGGGAAATAATGTAACTTGCAATGACAATGCTGTTGGTCTTGTAAAGTTGTATCATACGATCTCCCTCACCCTAACATTCTTTCACCAAGGCCATATTTCCCAGCTACTGATCCCTCTTCTTTGTTTCCATTGTTCACATTCTAATCACCAGTAATTATCAATGCATTTTGATTGTTTGATCGATTTCAGACTGAAGAATTTGGTTGTTGTTCAGTTTCATCATCATTGACTTTAGTGGTTTACTTGTCAGTTTGAACAATAGGTTTATTAGCTGGTCTTCCTTTTAAGCATACATAATAAATTTGTCCACATTTATTAATTTTTTTTCTATCCTGGCCATTTTAGTGAGTGTAAATTGACATTACCTTGTGGTTTTGATTTGCAGCTCTCTGATGGCTAACAACTTTGAACATCTTTTCACGTATTTAGTATCCATTTGAATGTCCTCTTTGTTGCAATGTCTATTTTAGGCTTTTGCCCATTTTATGATTGGGTTATTTGTCTTTTTGTTTTAAGTTATTTAGGTTTTACATCTGATTATTAGATTCCTGCTATGAGTCGGTAACAACAACAACAATATGGTTTCTGAAGATATCCCCCGATTGACAACTTGTCTCTTCTCTTTTTTTTAGTAAAGTCTTTTGATGAATAAAAGACTTTAATTTCTAGGAGGTCCCATTAATTTATTTTGTCTTTTGCTGTTTGCTTTTGTTACTAGATTAGGTAATCCATTGTTGAAAACTAGGGCTGAAAGTGTTGCCCCTGCTTGTTCTTGTAAGAATTTTATGTGTGGAGTTTAGATCCTTAATTCATTTTGAATGTGTTTTTGTGCATGCTATGAGGCATGGATCCTGTTTGATTTTTCTGTATGTGGAAATCCAATTTTTCCAGCACCGTTTATTGAGGAGACATTTTTTTCCCCCTCATCAAATGGACTTTTAGCTCTCTTGCCAAAAATCAGTAGACCATAGATATGTGGGTTTATTTCTGGACTCTCAGTTCTATTCCCTTCGTTTATGTGTCTGTTGCTATACTAGTATGGGACCATTTTGATTACTCTAGCTGTTAATATTCTATTCTTAATTATGAAAGTTGGATAAAAGCTACCTGAGCTTAGAGGAAATCCTGCCACCTTGCTAGTCACAATGGGATTTTCCAACTCATAGCAATGAGCATCACCTGGGAGATTGTTGGTGATGCAGAATCTCAAGTTAAACTTCACTCAGGTGGAATCAGAATTTGTATTTTAGTAAGAATGCCCTGTGGTTTATGCACATTCAACTTAAGGAAGCACTGGCCACTTCAGTAGGTGTGAGATGAGTCTGGGATCCTGTACTTCCTTCAAGCTTTCAGATATTACTGTTGCTGCTAGTCCATGAACCACACTCCGCATAGCATGTTGCTACATGAGGAGAAGCTCACGTAGTTCCTTTTTAACTCTCAAGTCATGATAAGCATGCATACTCAGGAGATGTACTTGAGTTGACTTGGCAGTTATTAAGCACAATACAGAGATGCTGTAGAGATGGACTTCTTGTTGTTAGGTGCCACTGAGTTGGTACCGACTCATAGCGACCTTATGCACAGCAGAACGAAACACTACCTGATCCTGGGCCAGCCTCACTACTGTGCCACACTTGAGTCCATTGATGCTGCCACTTGGCCAGTCCAGCTAATTGGGGTCTTCCTCTTTTTCTCTGACCCTCCACCTTACCAAACATGATATCCTTCTCCAGCGACTGGTCCCTCCTTGACAAT